ACCCCCGGTGCGCGAAGAAAAGCGCCGCGTGCCGCCGCGTACGCTGTGCCAGGCGCCTTCTTGCAGCGTCCGGATCATGTCGCGGGCGTCGCAGGGGACTCCCCATTGCTCGAGAAGAGGGCCGCGCTCGGTCAAGTATTCGGCGATCCGTGCTGCCGACTCTTCAGAGACACCCAGATCGCGGAGGAAGTCCAACTGCCGGTCACAAGGTACTTGCCCCCATCCCATCACTAGCTAACGGATCACTCTGTCGAACGCTTTGACAATATCCAAGTACAGAATAAAGACGCTCCAGCCCATCATCGAGGCGATGTCGGCCATCGTGGCAACGATATGCGATGCGAAGTCGGTGCCCCTTCCGGCCACAGCCCCGTGCTGGTTGATGGGCATCTTGGCAGTGTACACGTCCTCAATCGACCGCTTGAGCATGCCAGTCAGCGCTTTGCCAGCATGATCTGATAGGAGGAGTCCGCGGTGGTCATCACACTCGTGCACGCTGCCCTTCTTCTTCCAAACGCTGACAATCTCCCCGCCGTGCCACTGCGAGGGCCAGCGTGTGGTGGATGCTACGGCGGCGTTGATGTCCCCATACTTGGACGCAGTGGCACAGCCTCCGGCAGCAAGGAGTTCCCCAGGGATCTGATCAGGCCCGACGCCTTTGTTGCGTCCAAGCTTGCCGAACGCTACGCGCGTCGACTCAGGGCCATTATTGGCCGCAGCTTTGGTGTCGCACACATCTGGAGGGTAAGTGTTGGCGCTGTCTTCGAGGGCCTGCCCTCGATATACCTCCGAGTGGTGCTCCTCCCAGCGCTCCGTGGCCTCGCGGGTGGACGTGGTGAGAGCCCCGTCTTTGCGCCTCACCGAAGAAGTTGGCGCACTCTTCTTCGCACCGAGGGCCCGAGCAACGGCATAGCCAGTGCGCATGTCTGACGTGAGCATGGCGTGCTGGGCTTTTCCGGCTAACGCCTGGAGGAAAGCAGCGCGGTCGGCAGCAAACGACGGTCGGGCCCAGTTCTGGAGTCGCCTGATCCACCTGCACCACGCTGCCGCGCGCGACCGAGCCTCGTTGCAGATAGTGATGTTGTCAAGCGCGTCGCCAACAACAACCCACATGGTGAACTTCACGCTCGGCGGGGGGCGCGCACGAGCCTTCATATAAGCTGCCTGCCACACCCGGAAAGCCCCGCGGACGGCCGCGGGGAACGCGCCGCGGCGCACTTCATGCATGGCCCGGCGGGCAGGGGCGATCAGCCGTATGATCTCCCACGTCGTAGCGGAAATCCACGCCTGCCTGGGGGCGTCCTCTGGAGGGCCAAACACTTCCCGAGCACACTGTCGAACGTGGGAGTTCAAGGATTCCAACCACTCGTCCATTGAGGCATTGGCAGGGCGCTGGTACTCCCAGACGCGCTGCTGGAACAAGTCGCAGAGCTGGGGACACCCCAACGCCGTCTTGTTCACCTTGAACATCGCCGGCTGCTTGCTGCAGCCCTGGCGGGCCGCTGCCGGGATACGCTCGGTGACAATGATGGGCCGATGATCTTCATACTCGTTGAAAGTCAAATCGATGTCAGGCGCAACCCGGCACTGCGTCACAAGGTCCTTGGAGTCGGCCAAGATGTAATCGATGCGACGGCGGTGCCCGCGAGTAGAACACCAAGTAGTCCCAGCTGGCCAGCACGTGTTGACGGCATTCAGGTGCTCCTCGCCAGCGAAACGTCGCAACAAGGCCCCGTTGTCATTCTCCACCTCGGCGTCCACAGTGCCAATATACTGGGAGGCTGTGGACCCCGTGCGCCCGTTGGCATCGATAGCGATCCGGGTATGGGCTGTGTGAAATTTGGCACGTACTGTAAACATGGTCTCGCTCAGTAGGTGCCAGAAGTCATGGCGGGCCTCCTCCGACCATCCCATATGCGGCGCATGCGCGACTACAACTACAAGGAGAGCCCCGTTCCGGAGCTGCAGCGACGCAAACATCATCCGAGGTGAGACGTCCTGCCAGTGAAGCACCTGCACGTGGGCGCCCAAAAGCGGACCCACAGCTGAACTCCTTGAGCGCCCTCTGGCGTTGCAGCCCCGATGAGGCGCTTGTAGTATACTCCTGTCTGCAACCCCTCTGTTCGAGCCCGCCCCTCTTGCACGCCTATGATGTCAAGTTGAGCGTGCGTGAACTGGGTCTCAAGGGCCTCCACCTTGCTCAAAAACGGATTTACCGAGTTGTGGGAGTACGCGCGCCCCTCCTGGTGCGGGAGCAACGTCTGGACGTTAGCAGAGGCGATGGTGACGGTCAGATCGGTCTGGTTCACGGTGGGCCGACCAGTTGAGGCAGCCCTGCCAGGGACCCCGCGAGGAAGAAGCGCAGCACCAGCACGCTGCATCACCATCTCGGTGCGGGATGGCCCATTCAGCGATGGGCCACGTGGTCTCCACGCGGCAGAGCGGGCCGCTTTGCGTCGGCCGTGCGCCGTCGGGCGACCTCTGGACGCCTGCATGCCTACCGGCGTCGGCCGTGGCGCTGTCGTGACGGCGGCGGCGGTGTCAGCGTCGGCGTCGGCGTCGGCGTCGGCGTCGGTCAGTGTAGTAATGGCGTCGGCGTCAGCGTCGGCGTCGGCGGCGGTCAGTGTCGTAACGGCGTCGGCGTCGGCGTCGGAGGCGGTGTCAGTGTCGTAACGGCGTCGGCGTCGGCGTCGGCGTTTGCACTGGCGTAGCGTCGCCGGCGGTGACGGCGTCGTGTCATGGTCGACGTCAGTCGGTCGTGACGTCGCCAGGTTCAGCATCGTTCCGTCGCCGGTGCCGAACTGTTGTAACGGCGGCGGCGGCATCAGTGTCGTAACGGCGTCGGCTCCGCGCTGTCGTAATGACGTCAGCGGCGGTGTCGGCGTCGCACTGTCGCCAGCGCCGAATCCGAACGGCGGCAGCGTCAGTGTCAGCTCACTGCCGGCTTCAAGGCGAGCCGGCGGCGACAGAGCTAGCGTCGTGCCAGCATCAGCGCCGAGCTGCCGTAACGTCGTCAGCGTCGGGGCTGGTGTCGAATAGTCGTGTATATGAGGTACCGTTGCTGCTGCGAGCAGCTCCGGCCACCTAGCTGCGGCGCACATCTCCACGGCGCTTTCGTCGAGGAGGTGCTCCGGAGAGTGATCTACGCGTACGGCTGGTACGCGCTCTTGGCCGAAGGAGCATGCGCACCCACTGAAGGCTTGCACACGCCATCCGGCGGCTTCTTCACCGGAGCCCCGAAAAAAGATGTCAAATGAGATTGCACTTTCTGCTTGCCCGTGACCCTGTGGAAAACATCGGTCTCGGGCTCGGGGGGAGGGCGCTTGCCGCGCAAGCGTCGGTGGGCCACCTCCTGGGCCTGCTGAGCCGCCCGGATCGTCATCTCGAAGCTCTTCAGCAAGTTGTTTGTTTTGGTCTCGGCGTCGCTGATGACCTCGGGGCTGATGTCGTCGAACTGCTTGAGCTCCTCCACAGCCGCCGAGAGCTGATCGCGCAGGGCGCTCATGGTAGGAGGCTGCTGGGGGGGGTCCTTGGCCAGGGAGGACGCGAGCAAGGTGAGCTCCTTGTCCAAACGCTCCTCCTCCTCCGTAGCAGCTCGCATTGTCTGCTCTGCCAGGGCCAAGGCCTCGGCGGCCTGGGCCTTGCGCTTCCGCGAACGCTCCAGGGCTGCGCGCAGAGAGTCCAGCTTCTGCCCCACAGGCTTGAAGTTCTGCAGCTCGCGGCGCTTCTGCTCGAGCTGCTCGGCGAGGGAGGCTTTGAGCGCAGCCGTCGACGGGGTAGTCAACGCAGCGATGGCCATCTCGAGCTCCTTGATCGTGGCGACCACGGACGCCTTGGTAGGTCCGACGCTCCCGGTCTGCTCCGCAGTGGGCGGGGCCGAGGGCGTCGGGGGTGCCTGCTGCTGCGTGGCGGCCGCGGGTGCAGGCGGAGGCGGCTTGATCGCCGAGGTGCCGGTGGCTGCAGACAGGCACTCGGCAACCGCCGCCAACTGCTGCTGGACAGGGTTCCCGGGGTGTCCACTCTTGGGCGGGGGGTTGGCAGAGCCTGTAGGCGGAGCCAGCGTGCTCGAGGGCGTCCCAGCCACCGCCGCGTGCGTCCGCTTGAGCCCGCACGTCGAGCACTTGACCTTCGGGTGCCAGTTGGAACTCTGGCACATCGTGCACGTCCAGATCCGCGCACAGATACTCTCATCCGTCTCTCGTGGCGAGCGTGGAGGCTCTGATTGGGTTGCGGCGTCTCTTGTCTTTGCTTGCTGGGCAGGGAAACGCCCGCTGGCGCCCTGAGGAGATCGCCCCTGGACAGATCCCCCACGTGGTCGCGCCCTTTTGCGACGACCTGGCGAAGCGGCGTTGCCGCAAAGTTTTGTTCGTTGGAGCGCTCGCAACCATGCGCCCTCTGCTGGAGTGGCCAGATCCATTTAAGATCGCATTCCGCGCGGGCTGCAATGGGCCACCAGGAGCCCAGAGGAGCGCATCATCACCCCAGGGGGTTTCAATGTCGGCGACCACCTCGAGCCTAAGAACTTTGTGTTCCAAGAGCACGCCGTGTCTCGTGCGACTCCGTCTCGGCGGCGGCGTCGGGTGCAGCAGGTGAACGGCCCCGCCGAGATGGTCGCTCCTCGGGCCACGTACTGGCACCCTGCGCTGGGGCACGCATCCCGCATTGACAAGATCTTCTTTGGCTGGCCGCCCCAGCATCCGGCGCAATCGCCCGAGCAGGCCGGGGTGCATGGTGAGCCCGACCAGCTCCGCAGGTCGATCATCAGTGATTACGCCCCGATCTGGGTCACCCGGGGCCCAAGCTGCCGCGGCCGCCCGACCCTCATCGTCAAGCACGAGAACATCGCCTGACGCGTCAACAGTACCTCGGCATGCGCAGGTCAGAAGGGGGTCTCGGCCCCTGTGCGCCACCGTGCCTACGCGCGGATCCTGCTGGCCGCTCCGCGGGGGGTTCGCGAACTGCCGCTGCGGCCCGCGTCGTGGCCGCAGAGCCCGGTGGCGATGACGCGCAGGCAGATGGCACAGGAACGTTCGAGACGTGACGAGGAGATGGATGAACTGCTGCTGCTGTCCTGCCACGCCTGGCTCCAGGAGATGGCAGCGATCGGCCGCGAAGTGCGGGCGAAGCTGACCGACGCGGCCGGGTTCGAACGCAGGCGCTCAGATGCTCCGTGGAAGGAGGCCAACGCCTCCAGCGAGGCGATCCGACAGGGGCTCGAGTGGCCCGACTCCCCGGGTGCGGATCAGCGACGCCTTCGCGGTCAGTTGCGCGCTCTTCAGAGGCGGTCGGCTCTCTGGGCCCCCATCGTCGAGGCGATGCCTGGGCGCCCCCGTGATCGGCGGGGTGAACCGCCGAGCAACGCGGGAGGGCTTGGCAGAGCGCTGGGGCGAGGTCTTCGGCCCCCAGCCGCAGCCCGCGGCGCCCCGCCCTGCTCGCGAGCGCGGGGCGAGGGCGTTTCTCGGCTGGCACGGCCACCTGAAGCCCGACTGGGGCCAGATCCCTGCCCCGGCATCGCGGCCCATCCAGATGGAGCTGGAGCGAGCCGCTCCCGCCATGCCTGGAGCTGATGGACTGCCGGCCGCGGCGTGGCGGGCCTTCCCCTGCTGGCGTCGACGCGCTGACTGACGCGATGGAGTGGCTGGCGAGCGGGCGTGCCATGCCGCCTGGTTTCAATGGCGAGATTTGCGCCCTCCCGCCCAAGAAAATCTTGGGCTCCGACGGCGTGGAATCCTTGCGCGAACCAGCGGACGCGATGCCAATTGCGCTGAAGGGCGCGGGCGCCAAGGCCACATCGAGCGCAGCCAACGCGCGCCTGAGCGCGGCTGCCATGAGGGTGGCGCCGCACAGCCAGCGGCACTTCGTCAAGCACCGCATCTTCCTAGATAGCGCGATTGAGATGGACGGTTTTGCCCGCGTAGCCTTGCTCCGTGCTGGCGACGCGGGCCATGCGCAGCCCGCCCGCAAAGGATGGCGCTCGCCGATCCCTATCATCTTTGACTTCACTCTGGCCTTCCGGAGTTCCCGCCGCTACTGGATCGGGCGGGCGTTTCAGCGGCGGCTGTGGCGCCCGCGCATTGGGTCGTCATCCCGCGCGGCGACGAGCGCGGCCTGGGCTCTCCCCCAGCGGGCGGCAATGCTCCTCATCGTGTCTGGCGTCCTCCACGGCGACCCGCCCTCGGGCACGGGCTTCGCTCTCGCGGCGGCGTCCTTCGCCCGCGCGCGCGAGCGCCAGTCGGAGCGTTGCCGTCCGGGGCTCACTTGCCGGCGCGCTAACGACGTCGACGCCGTCGCTGTCAATCTGGAGGGGGCGCGCTTCACGGGTCGAATCTTCTGCGCGGGCGAACGGTTGGCGAGCCTTGCTCTGAAGCTCCAGGAGTGCTTCTGCGCCCCCTACGCGGGCCTCTTTCTCCCAGAGGCCGTGGAGAGCATGCGGCAAGAGCTGGGATCGGCTTGCACTGGTTGGTCCAAGGTTGCCTCCCAGCTGGGGATGTTGGGCTGCTTGCTGGGCCCCGCCGTCGCGTTTCGATAGCAGTGAAGGGCACCTCTGGCCAGGTGGCGCCAGCGTGCGATTGCTGCGGCGGCGACTTCGCTCGACCTCGCGACTCGCTGCTGCGCGATTGCCAGTCGAAGATGGACACGATCCTGAGCTACGAGGCCCAGGTGCGCTGCCCGCCGCCCTCTTCAAGGACGAGCAACTTGTCCTGACGAGGCTCCTGCGGACGTCAGGTAGCTTGACGCGACGCCCCGACATCTTCTACCTTCCCGAGTTCGGCCTTCCGAAGATCGCACCGATCCAGGCGTTCGCACTGGCCTTGATTATGTGGGCGGCCTCCTCCTCTCTATCGTCAGGGCGCGCTGTGGCTGCGCGGCTGGACTCGGTCGCGATGGGGGCGCCCCCGATGGCGCTCCCGATCGTCGCGCCGCACCCAGCCTTCTGGCAGGCGCCCTCTCTTGCGCGCGTGTTGCGTGCCGTGATTGAGGGCCCCAGCCAGATCGACGAGGATCCCGAAGCATGCCTCGCCTCACGAGAGCGGCGTCGCGATCGGGATAACATAGTGGCGGAGGGCGGGGGGGCTCGGGGGAGGGGTTGCTTGCAGTCTAGCATAGTTCGTTTTCTTGTGACGTGCGCAATCAGACCCAACATCTCGGATCTTCTAGGCAAGAGGCCCCTGATTTGGTTCCCCGCGGACCCCAGGGAGGTCTCGGCCATTGCCTGGGACTCGGCTAGGCCCGCCCTCGCAGAGTGCCCACCTTCCTTGATAGTGGTCTGCGCCATACCTGGCTAGGGGGCTCGGTCACGGACGCGCGCCTCCAGATTCCTGTTCGGGGATGTGTGCTAGGATGTCCCGATCGCTGCGGCCTTCGTCGCCATTTCCTTTGCTCTCGCGTTCGGGACTTCGTCGTGTGGAAGTCCCTTTCCTCGCTCCCTCCTGCTCCCGTCGAGGTCCTCGCTCGCGTTTCCTCGTCACCTCCCCGTATGCGCGTCGTGGCCCTGATGTTCCAGTTCCACCGCTTCCCCACATGCAGCGATGAGCAGCACTGGAATTCAGAGTGTCCCAGCGGCAGAGTCCGCATCGATCGCGAAGGCGGCTCGCAGGGCCGTCGACTTTGCCCAGGCCCAGCAGCAGATGTAGAAATGCGTCGGGCGGATGGCGAGCTCATCGTGATGATCGTGTGCCTCCTCATCATCCTCCTCCCTCTTCCTCCTCCTCCTGCCCCTTCCTCCTCCTGCCCCCTCCTCCTCCTCCTCCTCCTCCTCCTCCTCGTCCTCCTCCTCCTCCTCCTCATCTTCCTTCTCATCTGCCTTCCTCATATGGATTTCCCCTTTCCTCCTGCCCCCTCCTCCTCTTCCTCCTCCGTCTCCTCCGTCTCCTCCGTCTCCTCCGTCCTCCTCTTCCTCCTCCTCCTCCTCCTCCTCCTCCCCTCTCCCCGGATCTATCTTAACCCTCCTCCTGTCTCCCTCCTTCCCCTCCCCCTCCTCCTCCTCTCCTCTCTCCGTCTGTCCTCCTCCCTCCCTCCTCCCTCCCCCTCTCCCCTCGTCCGTCCTCTCCTCCTTCCTCCTCCTCCTCCTCCTCCCCTGACGTTCTCCTCCTCATCTCCTCCTCCTCCTCCTCCTCCACCTCTCCTCTCTCCCTCCTCCTCCTCCCTCCTCCTCCTCCTCCTCCCGCCCTCCCCTCCCCCTCCTGTCCTCCTCCTCCTCCTCCTCCTCCTCCTCCTCCCATTCTCCTGATCTTTCTGGGCCTCCGAGTCCTCCTGGTCCTCCTGCTCTTCCCGCTCCTGCTTCTCGTGCTCTCCTCCCTCCTCCTGCTCAGCCGCCTCCTGCCTCCCCCCTCCAGTATACAAGCGTTCACACTTTCCGATTGCGCAGCATACGCTGGGCCAGATTATTCAGTTTCCGTTTTGGTATCCAGGTCCGTTGCGACACCGCACCCGGCGGATTGGAGGAGCTACAACAGCCATGGGAAACGACGGGCAGGATGGGTAGGATGTCAGATGCGGCGCTGGCGCACACAGTTGCCTCTCTCTTCTTTCCCCGCCCGCTCACATATTTCATATCTTATCGTTTTTTTTTGTTTGTTCTCTCTCTCTCTCTGTATCTCTATCTCCCCCTCATTCTCTCCTGTGTCTCCTCTTTCCTCTCTTCGCTCGCCTCTCCTGTCTCCTCTTGACATCCTCCTCGCAGCCGCCTCACCATCCTGGTTATCATCCCTGTGATCGCCATCCTCTTATCCCCTCCCCTCTCATCCCTGCGTACTCGTCCTCCTCCTCGTCTTCTGCTCTTTCTATTCCTCCTGCTCCTGCCCCTTCTGGTCCTCAGCTTGCTGCCGCTGTCACGGTGTAGGTGGTGCTGCTGCTGTTCCTGCTCCTGCTCCTGCTCCTCCTCCTCCTCCCCCTCCTCCTCCTCCTCCTTCTCATCAACCTGCGTTTCCGTGGTCGCATTCCCTCCCCCTTCATTTCTTACATGCCAGGGGGTCAGGGTCAGCCCAAGGCGCAGATAATCCATGGCTGCTCCAGGCACTGACGCAATGCGCTATACCTATGTGCAGGACGTCGCCCCCTGCCACAGCTCCCTCCCAATTGCTCGTGTGACTGGGTCGGTTGGGCTGGTCGGTTGATTGGCCGATCGTTGGCGGCCGACCACTCGGCTGGTTGGTTGGCTGCCTGGATGTACGGTCGGCATTTGGGTTGGCTGGCTGTTAGGTTGAACGGATGCTCGGCAGGCCTGCTGGCTAGCTGGAGGGCTTGTTGGGCAGCTGGTGGGTCCGGAGGACGGCTCGATGGTTTTCGGTGACACGGGAGTGCGGCCTCGGGAGCGCGGCCCCGCAGCCGTTGCGAGGGATCGCGGCCCATCGATCTTTTGCGAGGGACCGTGGCCCGGGGAGCGCGCATCCGCAGCCGTGACGAAGGGTCGTGGCCTCGGGAGCGCGGGTCCAGGGTCTTGCTCCAGGGATCGGGGCCCCCCTCAGCGCGGGCCCCTTCGCCTCTGCGTTCGCGGGGGATCCTGGCCTCGGGTGGCGCCAGCCCGTCTCTTTCTGGCCACAGCTTTCTGGCAGGGGGTCGTGGCACTGGCGCTGCGGACCCATCGCGTTGCTACGGTGGGGGCGTTGATTGAGGAATGTGTCCAGGGGGGTTCAGACCCTGGAGGGTTCCTACTCTGATGAGGGCGGCGGTGATATCCATGGCCAATCCGCGATTGGCTTTCCACCGGCTTCCAGACCCTGGACTCCTGATCGAAGGTTTCCTCATCCAGTGCCGTCACCGTTCTTGCTCGAGGTCGTGGCCTCGAGGGCGCGGGCCCCCTTTGTGGTCACGAGGGGCCGCGGCCTCGGGGAGCACGGGTCCGCGGCCCTCTGCGAGGGGCCGCGGCCTCGGGGGCGCAGATCCATCGCATGTCTTCGGGTGCCTCGGAGGGCCCACGAGCCGAGGAGACGTGGTCGAGCACTGCGAAAGCATCTCTCGGGCCCTGGTTGGTGGCATGCGTTCTCAGAAATCGAGACCCCCCCCTCGAAGAAATCGAGCAGCCCCGTGTTCAGAGGGCCGGTATCCAGAAAACCACTGCCTTCAACTTGAAGTGCTCTGGTGTGGGGATCGATCTTGCAACGCTGCGAACTCCTCATAACGAGGACGATCTCCAAGCTGCTCAGTTGCTGGAGCCTGAGCTTCAGAGCCTGATAGTTTTTGTTATAGGGGCCAGCGGATAGATATTCTCTCAAGCGCCGTGGTTGTCATACTTTGTGCATTGCAGAATGGTGGCAGCAGCTGCTGAGTAGTGACGCTCAAGCTTTTGTCCATGCTTTTTTCGTCTCGCCATGTCCCCTCGTTGTTTTGTTGTCCTTGCCGCCCTCCTTGCTCTTGAGGGAGTTGTGGTCGTTCCCGATTGGTTTGTTCACGCCCAGGATAGTCGACCCCCTTTTTACCTCGTCCGCTCCGGCCGTGGCCTTGTTTGGGATGTTCCCCTCGTGACCAGCTGCGCCGTCGCTTGGATTGATTGCAGATCGAAGTATTGAGCAGGTCAACGCCAACCTTGGCCAAGCGGCGTTCATGAAGGCCAGGGCGGCGGCCGCCGGGGAGAAGGCTGAGTCGCTGATACAGCTCAAGAACGACGCCTCGTGGAGCAAGGATGTGCCAGGGAAGAGTTTGGAATTTCCCAGCCCCTCAGTGCGTTTTCCTCGGGTTGTAGTCTTGACCATGCCGTCGATGCGGCCCGCACCCTGTGATTCCAACCCGTGCCGGAGCCGTGCCTGGCACGTGCGCCGAGCTTGCCTTTCTGTGGCAAAGCTACTGAGCATCGCTTTCGCCAGGGGCTCACAATCCAAGCACTCGGGGAGACCAACCCGACTAGCGGGTGTTGGGAAGGGGCCCAGAGCGGCGCAATTTCTCATCGGAGGCAGGGAGGTTCGGGAGATCTACGGTCATTAATGCTGCTTCGAAAGCAGCAGGGGTTGGGGCTGGTCATGGTGCCTGGCTGCATCAGATCCTGCACATCCTTCAGTGCTTTCGACGAGCGTGGCAAACACGAGAAACGTGAACATTCCAACCCCCTCTTGCTCTGCTTGACCCCAGGGACCAAGGCTTGCCTCTGAGGCGGCTTCAGGAGAAGAGGACGAAACAGGTCAGCCTCGCCTCCTCTCTCCTCCCCTGACCCCTGCTCGTTCCCCAGGCTCCCATCTCTCCTCCTTTTCTCTCGGCCCCATCAGGAGCCCGCTGGCCGGCAGACTAGCGGACTCGGCGAGCTCAGCTCCGTTCCGCTCCTACTCCTCCCCTTACACCTCCTCCTCATCCTACTCATTTTCCTCCTCCTCCTCCTCCTGCTACTCTTTCCTCCTCCCTGCTCCTGGCTCCATCCTTCCGACTCCCTCCTCTCCTCCTTGCTCCCTTCTTCCTCATCCCTACTGCTCCTCCTCCTCCTCCTGCTGCTCCTCCTCCTCCTCTTCGCGTAGCGGGGGACGCAAAGACAGTTGGCGGGATCGCCCGATCCGCCGGGGCAGCAGCAACCCGCGGGCGGCTCTGGAGCTGGATGATGGCGTGGTCGCGCTACGCAAAGCACATCAAGGCGCTGCTGGACTGCTCCGCCCTGGACCAGCTGGGCGTTGGCCAGCGCTGGCGGACGGTGAAGGACCAGATGGTTTAGGCCGCGCGGCTCACGCGCAACGAGTTGCAGCGTTTGCCCATGCGGGACGGCTCTGACGAGGCCGAGGACGGCAGGCGCATTTCTGCACGAGCGGTGGCAAGGGCGATGTGGAGACAGGATGTCCAGCTCGCCCAGCGCCTCCAGGACACCACGGCCTTCGGCGCCCGCCACCTCACGATTGCCGACGACGATTGCATCTCGCTCACAGATGCGGAGTCCTTCGAGAGCGAATGCCGTCTGCTGCACGCTGCCTGGCACGAGCGGCAGCAGAAAGCGGCAGCGGACCGATTGCGCGAGGAGGTTCGCTTGCGGTCTGGTGGAGATGGTCCGTCGGAGCTTCAGTTGAGGAAACTCCAGCGGGCGGCCCAGCGGCGGGCGCTGTCTGGGTGCCCTATCGCCGCCGCCTGATCCTCGCAGGCATTCGCGCTGATGGGGAGGGGCACGGCACGGCGATCGAGCGGGAGCCCACGATGATCATGGACGCGCTCAGGAGCTTCTGGTTCCCCGGCCGTCTTCAACGACCAGTCTGTCGACGAGGCGGCCGTCAAGGCCTACCTAGACCAGCACATCCCTGACTTCGAGCGGCCACTGCTGTCGGTCCCCTCGCCGGAGGCGCTTCGAGCCGCCTTTCGGCGCGCCCGGTCAACGGCGCCTGGCCTGACCGGCTCCGCGCGGTTGCTTGGTTGGCGGACGAACGGCTGACGGACGCGCTGCACGCCCTCATGCTTGAGCTCTACGCGGGCAAGCCTGCGCCATGGGGCTTCAACTTCTCGGACATGGTCTTCGTGCCGAAGGGCGACGACCCGACGGACGTGGTGGACGTCGTCAGACATGCAGCCAAGCTGAGGCCGCTCTCCCTCAAGAACTCGGACGCGAAAGCGGTGGCCGCAGCGGCGAACAACCAGCTCTCGCAGCTCGTCTGTGAGCGGGCCCACGGCTCCCAGCAATGATTCATTAGAGGAAGGAACTTCCTCTCGCACATCGTTCGTCAGGATGCGATTGCGAGAGCTGCCGGCCACCACCCTGCCTTCCTCTCCCTCTTTGTCTCCTTTGGCCTCGCTGCTGCATTCCCCTCCCTGTCCTTGGTGTTCCTCCATCATGTGCTCGCCCGCCACCGCATCTCGACCGGCTTCCAGAATTTAATCTCGGCTCTGTATATTGGGGCTCTCGCCCACACCCGCTGCGGCTCCCAGAGGCTCCCGCTCTTCATGGTGACCTTGGGAGTTGCCCAAGGCTGCCACCTCTCGGGCACCTTGTGGGCCTTGATCATGGACCCGTTTCTCCGGCATTTGGCCGCGCAGCTCGAATCGCCCGAAGCCCTGTCTCTTTGCCCTGGGCCATGCCGGTGGACCCCAGGGCTAGAACCTGCGTTTGGCGCGACGGCGGACGATGTGGGCGCCACCCTCCCCTCTATTGGCCTCCTCCCTCTTCTTCACCCACCCTTCGCCGCCGCCCGCACGCTTGCGAATTTCGCGCTCCAGCCAGCGAGGTGCGCGGTCGTGCCATTAGGCGAGGCTTGCGATGAGGCCGCGGTGCAAAAGTTCAAATCGCGCATCGCCTCGCTTTTCTCTGCATGGGCAGTCTTTGCCGTCAAGGCTGCGACCGATTTTCTCGGAGTGAAGTTCGGACCGCAGGCCGCGATTGCTGAACCAGTGGGCTTCCCTTGAGAGTAAATGGCGAAGCAGAGTTAAGGAACTGGCCCTCTCTGGTGCCCCGGCGGAATCATGCTGCCGTGCGCACAATTTCGGCATAGTTTCGGTGCTCAGCTACGTCTGCCAACCATTCCCTCCTCCGCCTCCTCTCCTTCGCTCTGGGCGCCATGTCCTCCGCCGCCTCCTCCGCCTCCCGCCCAGCTCATTCGGCCTCTCGGAGCTCCTGGGGGATCGGATCCTGGCTCCCGAGTGCCACGCCTCGCCCGATTCGGACCCTGTGCGCTGCCGCTGCCTGGAGAACCGCGTTCCACACGTTGGGGACGGCGGGTGGGCGAGTTTGGCGGGGGGCTCTCGCGATTCTCAGGCAGCAGGCGGAAACGCACGGAGGTTTTACTCGCTTCTCGCGTGGGCTCCTGAGCCCGGCATGCTGGGAAAACCCGTCATCCATAGGCGAATACTTTGAACATTTGCTCTCGGAGTCCTGGGCCCCGCCAGGCATCGCCCGTCAGGCGTGGGACACGGCGACCCGTGCTGCGATCGAGATCCACAGCGCCCGGCTGGAGGCGAGACGTCCTCGCCCCCAGCGGATCCTAATTCGCTCTCTCTCTTCCCCGCTCTTCCCCGATTCTTTCCCCTCTCTCCTTGCCCGAAGGATTCTTGCGTGGCTCCCCCATGACTCCCAGATCCCTGTAGCGGAGCTCGGGCGGAGATGGGAGGCCCTCCGATCCATCCTAGCTCGGTCTCCTCCTTCGTGGGCTTGGGCACACATCAAGACATTGCCCGGCGGATGGACCACGTCCGCACGAATTCCGAGCGCTACGGAGTGTCAATGTTTGTTTGGATGCCAAGCCCGAGACTCCTTCCAACACTAACTTGTGTGTCCTCGTCTCCTCCACCTTCTCGCTTTCCCTCGTGGTTTCCTCCCCACCTGTCCTCTCACACGTCTGGGGCTTGGCCAAGTACCCGATAATGAACTCGAGTATCCCCGCCAGCGCTGCCACCATATCGTAGTGTTGAACTTCCAGATTTACCACAAGCTGGAAGCTGACCTTGCGGGCATGCCAAGAGCGGCCACGCCCACCTACCATTGCGAAATACGAGCCGCAGCCTTCGTCGCGATGCGATGCTAGGGCCTTGGCGGTAGCTGAGTCACCGTGGATTGAAGCTACGCGCGCTCCTCTTCCTCCTCCTCCTCCTCCTCCTCCTCCTCCTCCTCCTCCTCCTCCTCCTCCTCCTCCTCCTCCTCCTCCTCCTCCTCCCTCCTCCTCCATCTCCTCCTCCTCCTCCTCCTCCGCCTCCTCCTCCCTCCTCCTCCTCCTTCTCCTCCTCCTCCTCCTCCTACTCCTCCTCCTCCTCCTCCTCCTCCTCCTCCTCCTCCTCCTCCTCCTCCTCCTCCTCCTCCTCCTCCTCCCCCTCGTCGGCGCCGCTTTTTCGGGCCCGGGAGCCAGAGCCACCAGACGGGTGGGCAATGACCTCGCTCTTGTCCTGAGCTCCCCGTGTAGTACGCCTCTGCCGCCGACCCCTCGCCTTCCTCTCCCGTCCCGGCCCTCTTCTTCTCCGCTCTCCTCTCTCCTGGCCCCGGCCCTCATCTTTTTAAGGCGGAGGTTTATCCATTGCGATTTTCTGAGGGATCGATCTTCGGGTGCCTCGGCAGGCGGTGGACATGGACATGTGACATGGACATGTCCGTATCGATCGCCCGCCGAGCTCTCCCGAAGATTTGCCGCCGCACCAAGCACTTCAGCCATGCGTCATTCAGACACGGCGCTTCTGACTCCGGAAGGGCGGAAATGGAGACGGAAACTAGTGGGACCACGACCGACAGCAGATCTTGTTCTTTTTGGAGAGGGTTCGCTGTCTGTGTCGCCGTGGACGGTGTCTGTTTAGGACGAGCGTTGCCTGCCCCACATCGGCCGATGTCGGTTTGGAGTTTGGAGCACAGTTTGTTGTTTGGCATCGCGTTCCAATTCGTTCTGATTCCATTTTAGGAGTGTTACTTGTTCTGATTCAGAGGCCTGTGGTCTCCTGCCCCCCTCCCCGTCTCGGGGCGGACGAGATCGAAAGAGGGGAGGGACGAACTCTGCTGCTTGCGGCTGGTTTCGGCACCGGGAGGCGCCGGGAAAAGCAGTTGCATGCAGCTGATTCGATACTTGGCTATCGCCTCATCTGGTCCGACGCCCCCCTTGTCGCCGCAGGACATCATGGACTGGCGGGTCCTCCCGATCTGCTCGTCCGAGGGGCTGGGCGAGAGCGGCGAGAATCTCGTGCCGCTGTCGCAGGGGGGTAAGTGTGTGGCCCTCACGCTCGTCAGCCAGGACGAGTCGATCATAGACTCCCTCACAGGCATGAGGAGGGAGGATGGACGGAGGACGAGGGAGGATGGAGGAGGTGGTGGTGGTGGTAGACAGCGAGGGGATGAGGAGGGAAGAAGGAGGAGAAGGAGGAGGAAGAGGAGAAGGTGGAGGAGGAGGTGGAGGAGGAGGAGGAGGAGGAGGAGGTGGAGGAGGACGAGGAGGTGGAGGAGGGGTGGGAGGAGGGAGGGAGGAGGAGGAGGAGGGGGGAGATGGGGGAGGGAGGAGGAGGAGGAGGAGAGGAGAGGAGGAGGAGGAGGAGGAGGAAGAGGAGGAGGAGGAGGAAGAGGAGGAGGAAAAGGAGCAGGAGAACGAGGAGGAGGAGGAGGAGGCGGAGAAGGACCAGAGTCAACCAACTATTCATAAACAGTGCTGTCATACACCCTCACTGCCCCGTGTTTCAGGATACTTTGTCTCGGCTCGTTCCTCTCTGCCCCCTGATTGACCTCAACGCAGTTTCGTGGAGAAGGTTCTCATACGTAGATCCTCTTGGGCCTCGGCAGAGCACCTCCGTGCCATTGCAGAAGCTCTCGGTATCGGTCTTAGCGCTTTTAATCCTTCGAGAATTAGTGATTCGTTTTTGCAGGTTCCGTTCGTTCAACACATGGAGGCGCGAGCTCCTGCACTCGCCAGGCGCCGCGTTAAGGTGCGCGCTTTGTTGGTGTAGCTGTTCATCCAGGAGCCCCCGCCTCTTATATGTTCGTCTGACTCCTCCTCCTCCTCCTCACCCCCTCCTCCTCCTCCTCCTTTTCTTCCTCCTCCTCCTCCTCCTCCTCCTTCTCCTTCTCCTCTTCACCCCCCTCCTCCTTCTGCTCCCTCCCCCATCATCTCCCTCCCCCCCAGGTAGTCGAGGCTGCCGTCGACGTTGGGTGCGACACGACTGCTGCCGCCCGTCGATCACGCGCCAAAATTTCGGAACGCATTTCACAGGCCAAGCGTAGGACTGGTAGGATCCACCGCTTGCGTAGGCACGCTCGGCCCACGACGACCTCTCAGGGTCTCAGGCTCCAGAGAGCGCCCCCTCAGGCGATTTACGGCCACCGGGCCGTGGGCATCGCCCCAAACGCCATTTTTCAGTTGCGCCGGCAGGCACGGCGCAGGGGTGGCCAGGGACTGGCCGCGGCAAGCATCTCATTTTGGTTTTGGGCTTGTGGCACGGCGACCAGGGCCCTGCTTCGTCGCTCCGTTCCCAGGCGCTGTTCACGCGGCGTGATTCATGGGGACCACCACGAGGCCTGGGTGCAGGATGCTGCAGGGTCCTGCAGGATCTTGCCAGATCTTGAAGGACTGACCTGGGCCAGCAACGATCCCCGAAGCGGGAGGCGCAGCGGCCGAGGCTCGCCACGAGGCACGCGGGGAGCCCTTCGGCCGCCGAGAGGGCGTGGGCGACGGGGGCCGCCTGGCCGCATGGCTCCACGCTCGTGCCTCTGAGGCCTGTCCGCTCATTCTGGAACGGATGGGGGGTCAGCGAAGCATCGCTGGAGGCGCGTGCGAGGCCCTATTGCGGCCGTGCAGATAGCTCTTCTCGACGCGGGCTGGAAGCCCTCCAGAGCTACTGGGTGGCACCGTTCCGTCGCCGATTGTTTTGATGGTGATGTTTTTTTCCCCCGACGCTACCCCGAACGAGATGTTACGAGGGCGATTTCGTTTTTTTTTCTGAGCTCGTCGCGGATTTTCGGCACGATTTGCGGGCGGGGCTTTGGCAGGAGGCAGCCAAACACGTTTTCGGACCTGGCCTGGAGTTTGGCCCCAGCTCGTGCCCACCTCGCCACTTAGCTTCGCAAAAAGTCCTACGACCAGCCAGGCCAGTTTGCAACGGTTGTGCCTGGAGGTCAATGGCCCCACGACTAGCAGATAGAGGCAGGATGCTCTGCGTTGCCTCTCTGCCACAGTGGTGCCACCCCCGAATTTTTGCTGCCGCCGCATCTGGTCATGCCCCTGTAACGCTTTCGCGGCCCAGGTGCAGCACGAGTCAATGCTTTCACTCTGGTTCCGTGGCATTCCTCCATCTGGCTTCACGGTGCCGCCTTATCAAGATGTCGGGGACGTGGAGTGGAGAATTGTTTTCGGGGGTGTTTGGGAAGTTGGCGCCGCCCTTGCAGGCTGTTGCCGTCACCCCCAGCGGCGCGATCTTTGTCTTTGGGGGCGGTTCCGTGGGTCTGCATCGCAGCGCCCTTCGGCGGCGGCGAGAAGGAACCGCCGCGGTCCCTTTGCAGCCGACCCCCGACGGGGAGACCTTGTTCTCGGGAGCGGCGAGCACTCTCGGATGGCACCCTTGCCAAATTCAAAGGGCTTGAACTCGCCCTCATGCGACGGCCCCATTGTGTTCGTTACCGATCGTTCTGATCTGCGCACCGATTGGGCCCAGGGTGGACCCAAGGTCGTAGTGGTAAGCGTGCGGGCACTAGCTCGGACTTGTGGATTCGAGTCCGCGAGGTTTCTTTCCACGGTCAGGGTTGGTGCCGTCCATGTCGTGCGGGCCCCTTCCCATGTCGACCCCGACGGCCCGTCGCTGTCCCTGGCGCAGCGCGGCCTTGCGATCAGGGACGCCCTCGCCGATGAGCATGCCGGGTTCGCCGCTCGTCGTTCTGGGGATCTGGCCCCGGAGGGCCGTCCGGGCCCCGAGGCCGGCAGACGTGCACGGCCCACCTCTTGCGCAGAAAGGCTGCCCAGGCGATGGTCGACTCGATTGCCGCCGCCTCGTGGACCGCCACCTGGCTCAGGGCAGGCCGAGGAGCGACAGACGGACGGGGCAGATGTCCCTGTCCAATGCGCACTGCTTCGCGTGTGCTTATGGTCAACGGATTTGCGCCCTCTTGCCACCGCATCCTGAATTGCCAGGACCTGGTGCAGGCCTGTGCCATGGACTGTCCAGGAGCTGCGTCCAGCGACCAGGCCTTTGGGGGAAATATTGCAGGGGCGGCGAGTGGGACAGTGGTGGTGGCGTGGGGGCAAAGCGTGGCATTACTCTCACAAGTTGTTTTTTCTGGCCTCGTTTTCCCTGCAGTTCCATTTTGTTTGCGGCAAGACCGCCTCGACCGACCCGCGTCAGCTTTTTGGGGTGCGCACGCGGTCTAAGAAGGGTCAGGAGAATTTGGCCCGCGTTCGGCTGTGGAAATAACTACCCCTGTCACCGCGGGCCACATGCGTCTGTCATCGAGGCTGATCTTTCCAGGATGCGGCGGACGGAGGCCCGTCGAGGTGCGCGATTTCCTGGAGTTTTGTGGTGGATGTTCCAGCCACGTAGACTGTAGCACTGACAGGAATCCCGTAGCAGTCCTTCCCCCCCTCTCCCCCCCTCGCCCCCTCTCCCCCTCCCCTCCCCCCCCGCCGCGCAGGCATCCTGCAGGAGTGCGGCGTGGACACCGTCCAGGCGGCGGCCCCTCTGGCTGCACGGCCCCTGGCGAGGAGGGGGAGCCGCCCGGAAGGAGCAGCGGGCCCGGATGCTTCTCGCCGCTCTCGGGCCTCCCGGGGCCCTCCCACGCTCCACGGGCCCCGGGACCGTCAGCACACGACTCGGGCTGGAGCGCTGGTCCCGGGGCAGGGTCCCATGGGTCCAGGGCCCGTGCCCCTCACGACCAGTCTGCTCCATGCCAGGCCAGGGATCGGGCAGCGCCAAGGAGGGTCGACCCTCCGTCCGGAGATCGGGGACTGAGGAGAGGAGAGGAGGAGGAGGATCGCAGAGGATTTGTCGCCCCACATCCCCGACCTCCCTGGCAAACCAGTCGTTAAGAAAGCTGGGGGAATTCGGGGATACGCCCCCATGGAGGCTATTCGGACGCCCCCCTGTCGAGGATATACATCCCCAGGCCGAAAGTGTTTTCCTCTTGGACTAAAGATATGACAACATCAGTGGATCCAATTGGATCCCTTTTCGGGTGTGGGAGAGTTTCGTGGATCCTATTTCTGTGTTGCGCGGATCCAATTTCCCGTGTGTGAAAAGAACGATGGAGCCATTTTTCCCGGGAGCAAATAGATTTAAGAATAATGATACGAATAATGATAATACTTTTAATAGCAATAATACTGATAATAATACTAACAATAATAAAATAACCAACCTCCGGGACCCAGGGGAAATGGGATCCGCGGAGCACCGTAAGTGAAGCATCATGCTATCCACGGAGCTGTGGATCTGCAGACCAATGCTGTGATTCTACGGGGGAGGGGTCCAGGATGAAGAGGGGAAGGATGAGGAAAGAGGCAAGAGGAGGTGGGAGGAGAACACAGGGCATCGGCGCGTCGCTTCCGACATGTGGTGCTCAAGAGGAAAATCTTTCGGCCTGCGTGAGTATTGCCCCCTCGTGTATCCCCGTGTGGCCATTCGAAAACGCCTCAAGTCGATGATAGGGACATACCCCCGGTCAGATGATCGGGGCGGACGGAAACGGGGGATTATGAAAGGGGGGGTCACGAAAATTGCTGCATGGAGCTGGTTTCGGCCCCTCCTCCACGCACGTCCTGCAATGGTCGCGTCAGACGCTGGGAGGCGCCGGGAAAACTTGCTACATGTTATGATTCGCTAACGCCTTCTTTCCTATCGCCCCCGCCAAGAGATGTCACTGGTCACTGGGAGATCTCTGCCTCACGGGCGCGCAGGTCTCTATTGCTAGCAAGCCCCGGCCCCTTCCTCTCCCTCTCCCTCTGCCTCCCTCTCCCTCCTTCCTTCCTTCTCCCAGTACGCGGCCTCTCGCGCGGAAGTCGTCGTCGTCGTCGGCGGCGGCGTCGTCAGCGTCGATCTCAGGAGCAGGGTGCTGATGTTCTGGGCTCTTGGCGGTCTCCTGGGGGGCCCTCGCCGCAATATGCTGGCTCTGCCTCGAGTTCCTCGAAATTCGATCCTCGATCCTCCGATCCTCGATCGATCCTCGATCGATCCTCGATCCTCGATCCTCGATCGATCCTCCCGAGGCCCGCTTTTTCCAGCCGTCGCGACGTGAGCAAGATACAGCGGGTGCCTGCTAGGTGCTGCGGTCCAGCCGCGCCACGAGGACAAGTATAGCTCTCCAGGGGTGCCATCGCATCCTCGCCTCTGCGGCCCATCCCTGGCCGCTTTCCATCGAAGAGACTTCAACTTGGACATCGAAGGTCCTTGTATCCTGCTCGCGCCTCCGCATGATCCGGTCGCACTATGTTCGGGAGGGAAAAATAGTCACAGACACAAGTCACGCATATTCAAATGAACGTGTGGGAAAGTGTACAAAGGGGGGGGGGTAAGTCGAGACTCCAGAACATATTGAACAATATTGGGAATATTGGGATGTATTCCTCTTCCTATATTTTCGCAAGCCCGGGCGGGGGGACGCCCCCCCCCAAAACCGGACCCCCCGGGATCTGGGACTTTGGGACCCTCCGGACGGGCCTCGAAGCGGCCCCCCGGGCCTCGCAGGGCGTCTTGCCAAGCCTTCCCAGCACACCTAGGGCGATCAGGGGGGTCATCGGAGACGTCCCAGAAATCCCCAAGACAGCACAAGAGCGCTCCACGAGTGACCGACGTGACCTCAAGATGGCCCAAGAGGCCTCCAGGACGGCCCCAAAGAGGCCTCCAAGATTAAGAGCACTCCGAAGAAGGCCCCAGGAGCACAAGAGCACTCCAAACATCATTGATTTTCTGTTGGTTGTTGGTGAATTTTGGGGTTCTCCTCTTTTCGGCTTCCCGACGCTCCAAGCCGGCGGTCTTCTGGGCATCCGAAGCCGCCTGGGAGGCTCCCAAATCGCCCCACAACCATCCGAGAGGCTTCCAGGCAATCGAAGAGGGCCCCAAAACGGCACAACACGGGTCCAAGATGGCCCTCAGAGAGCCCCATGGCGGCCCAAGATGGCCCCAAGACACCCTCCGAAGCATTCCAAATCGTGACCTGGTCGTTCAGGGAGACCGCGGTTGGAGGCAGGGTGGCCCGAGGAAGCCCCCAGAGGCCCCCAGAATACGCCCAGGAGGCCTCCAGAAGGCGTTAAGAAAACCTGAAGCAACTTCTGTGAGGCCCCCAGAGGCTCTCCAAGGAGGAGCCTCAACAAAAAAGAGTTGAGGAGGATGGGGAGAATGCGCAGGGTATGGCGAAAATAAACAAAGAAGCGTGGAGGAAGGATAACGAATAACATTATTATAGCGGCGATACCGGAAAAATCAACAAAGAGTTGTCGCCAAATTGTCGGCTTGACCTTCCTGCTATTCCGCCAGCATGCCAAACTTCAAGGACCCAGGTGCACGGCGCGAAGCGCCACTGCAGTCTTGTGTGTGTATATATATATATATGTATGCATGCTTGGTGTCTCCCTGGGCGCCTTGATGCATCGCGGCGTTTTCGGCGCCGGCGCTTTCTGCGCCTTCGCGGCCTTCGGGGCAGGTGCTCGCCACGAAGGCTTTCACGTGGGCGTCGGAGGGCCTCGCCTGCTCGCGCCTCCGCATGAGCCGGTCGCGCTGCAGTCATGGCGCTGATCTGAGGTCGTCGGCGAGCAAGGGGGGGGAAGTGAGAAGGAGAAGGGCGTCTCACAAGGCCGCGGGACGTCTCAGAAGCCCGCGCGCCTCCTGAGAAGTTGCCTCTGTCTTCGGGGCAGGCTTAGCAAACTTCTCGGAAGGCCGGGGGACATCCGAGCCTTCTGAGAAGGCCTGCTCCTCCTCGCTTCCCCCCCTCGCTCGCCGCCGATAATGACCACCTTGGGCTCAGGAGGGGCCCTGGTTTTCGGGCCGTTCCTCGGGCCTACAGGCCAGGCAACCCGTTCGTGGCCGAGCCTCGCCGTGGTCGGAATCGCCGCCCTCGTTCGTTCTTCTCGGCCCTGCTGCTTTTTGTTTCCCAAGCTCCTCTTGCAGCGGGAGGCCCATGCCAAGAAGCACCCTGCTTGCTTCCAGGGTGCCCTGGGCTTCTTGGGCTTCCATGGCTTCGCGGTGGAACAGCGTGGCATCCCCACACCCCAGAATCGCTGAACGTGCTGGGGTATCAGGGTTGGGCTTCTTGCGGAAGGTCTCTTGTGGTCGAGCCCCTACAGGAGGTACCTCGACAGTGTTCAGCGTTCCTCCTGGAGGTACTTCGACTGAGTACTGGCCACCGGGGGCCGCTTCCGTGCCCCGTGGTCGCCACCGGCGCCGCCCGCCCCCATCGCTCCAGCCTCGGGCGTCAAGGCTGGGGCTTTCCAAGCAGGAGGTCGACGACAACCTTGGCTTACCCCCAATCTGTTTTGGTCGTCGAATCTACGGACAGATGCGGAGAAGGCTCCGCACATCTACGGAGCACTCTGCAGGTCTGTTCGTAGATACGGCGCAAGTGCAATTTTAGGGTGCATCAGCTTTGTAGTCGATCTCCTACTCGAGTTTTCTGCCACTTCGCGGCCTTCGGGGCAGGTGCTCGCCACGAAGGAAAGTCAAAGAAGAAACAACGGCATAAACATACATTTTCGGAGCTCCGCGCGGATTTCTCGGATCGGTGTTGGGCGCCTTCCTGGCGGCGCCTCCGGCGCCGCCACTGGCGCGCTCCGCTCGCCAAGGAGGGGGGGTCCAGCGCGGATCCAAGGAATCCGCGCGGACCTCCGAAGGCTTATGTTGACGTTTGTCTTTTGAAAAACGGAGGAATTCCTGAGGCAAAGGGTTCTGAGTTTTCTCGTCGCACTTGGCCTCCCGGACGCCGTCCCCGGGTGCCAGGGCCGTCAACGGTCCACAGTCAACAGCACGGCTCGGGCTGGGAGTCAGGTCCTGGGGGGGGGCAGTCCCCTGGGTGTAGGGCCTGCTCTCCTCCAGGCGTCGCCCCCCCCCCTCCCCCCTCCCCTGTCCCGCGGGTCCAGCGGCCAGCCTCTCGAGACGTCGGTGCTGCGAAGCGTGAAGCGTCGCTGCCGCGTGGCTGCCTCGCGGTCGGCTCGCGGCGGCTCTCCGGGAACGGAGCCTCCCTGTGCGCTGGCTCAGTGCATGGATGAAATCACGAGCGGCCGCGAGCACGACATCATGTCCGACGACCGCATCCAGAGGCTGATCCGCACGCTGGTCGTCACGACCAACGAGGACATGCTGGACCTGCTCATCACCCACGGCAAGATCGAGAATCTCTCTGCCCTGCAGCGCCACGAGCTCCTCGCCTACTTTTCCATGCTGTGTGTCAAGGGCGGGGTCAGGCTCGATGCTGTGAGGAAGCTCGCGCTGTTCAAGACCATCGACGTCGACACCAAGTTCGTCGCCTTCAAGGACCTCCCGCATTTTTACGCAGCCTCTGCTTTGTCTCGTCCTTTCGCCAGCCTGTCTCCGGCTCGCAGCGCGGCGGGCTTGTTTTGTGCAGTTTCATGTGACCACTGTAGCCCCAGCAAAGTGTACCGATTGTCACAGCAGCGGTGCACTGCACCCCACTTGACTTTGATATCGAACGTTGAGCCTTGACGAGAGATCGGAGGTTGGGGGGTGAGATCGCAGTGGGACAGAGATCCCCCCACCGCGAAATCGATTTCGGCTTCGTGTTCGTGTCGTGCGTGCGGGCGAGGTGCGTGGGCCTCTCTAGAGGAGTGACGCCGCAGCGGCCAGGGGCTGTGGAGCCGCTTGTCCGCCCCTTCCCCCCCCCGCGCGCGGTGGCCAGCGATGTCCTGTCGGTGGCGCGTCGGTGTCCCGTCGGTGGCGCGGGGTTCCCCGTCGGTGGCGCAGGGTGTCCCGACGGTAGCTCGGGGTGTACCGCCGTGCTGTCTCGATGGTAGATCGTGAGATCAGTTGTGAGATCGATAGCGATCTCGATCGTGAGATCGACTGCGTGATCGATCGTGATCGTGAGATCGATCGTGAGATCGAGAGGTTGATAGTGAGATCGATAGTGAGATCGATCACAACAGATCTTTGGCTGGGGGTGCCCCGCCGTGGCTGGATGGTGTCTCGTGAGGTCTCTTGTGAGGTCGATCGTGAAATCTCGTGTGAGATCGACGTTTGGATCGACAGTGAGACCGTCATGCCCGCTGTAGAGGCAATTATTAGACCCGCTAGTGTTCCGATGATGCCCCGATGTTGTGCCGTTGGTGTCCCGATCGTATTGAACGCCACTCGCTGTGAGATCGTTCGTGAGATCTGCTCAGATGTCGATAATGAGATCGATGAGATATGCAGTGATACCTATAGTCTGATGGAGCGTGAGATCGATAGTGAGATCGATTGTGGGATCGATGCTGAGATCGATAATGAGATCGATAGTGAAACCGGTAGTGAGATCAGTCGACAAGTGTCGGATGCGAGGTCGCATTTATGTGGTGTGAGCTCAATCGCGGCTGTACAATCACCATTATTCATTATCACCATGAACGTCATCGTGCAATGTCGCCATCTCATCGCCATCACAGTCATCGCAGTTGTTGTCAGTGGTTCCCTTTCCCCCCAAACCTCCTTGTCAAACCTCCTTGGCACCCGAATGGTGGCCGTTTAATTAACTCTAGACGTTTTGTGTCCCAACCCATGCCATCCATCAGCGCTGCCCAGGAGAATTGCCTTCGTCAGGGAAGTGGGGGAGCATACAGTGGAACAAAGAGCTGGGGGAACCGTCACACCGAAGCTTGGGATCATTCTGGGCAGGCCCAGAAGTGAAACACATGTGCCTTCGCGGACTTGTCGAACGAGGAAGGGCGGAGGAGAAGGATGAGGAGGAGGATGAGGATGAAGATGAGGATGAGGATGAGGATGAGGAGGAGGAAGAGGCGGAGGACGAGGAGGAGGAGGAGGAGGAGGAGGAGGAGGAGGAGGACTGGACTGGACTGGACTGGACTGGACTGGACTGGTCCTACAACGGAAGGTGCTGGTGGCCTCATGCGTGGCCGCCTTCTCGTGGGGAGGCGGGCGCCAGGTTCCCTGGGGGGGGGGGGTTGCCGTGTGCGACAGCACGGCGACCGAGCTCGGGCCCGCCTCCGCACTCTCAGGGGGTGGGATGGGAGGAGCGGGACTCTGGCCTCCGCTCCCCCCGGCTTAGTTCCGACCCCGGCTTGCTGCAGGTCGGGCAGGAGGTCCAGCCGCGAAGATTGACACGGGCCAGCGGGGAGGAGCCAGGTGGCCCCCCCCTGCGCTTGGGAGCTCTCGCGTGGCCTTGCGACGGAGGCCCCGCCGGCTCACAACGCAGGTGCGAGGCTCGGCGTCGGAGGGAAGGGGGGGAGGGCCATCCCGGGGGCGGTGCGTCCGGACTGGCCACGACGAGCCCAGCCCGGCCCAGCCCCACCCTCTGACTGCGAGGAGGGCGGGCAGTACGAGGGCGGGCAGTACGAGGAGACAGAGGAGCAGTAGGAAAGGAGGGGGAGGAGGAGGAGGAGGAGGAGGAGGAGGAGGAGGAGGAGGAGGAGGAGGAGGGAGGAGGAGGAGGAGGAGGAGGAGGAGGAGGAGGAGGAGGGGGGGAGGAGGAGGAGGAAGGCGAGCAGAAGAAGGATGCGTTTGATTGAGCACGTTCACAGCTTCTGATCAAGTAAACCTTGTTGGAATGAGGAGGAGGCGGAGAGGGAGAACGAGGAAGAGGAGTAGGAGGAGAAGCAACAATAGGATGATTATGCTGCTGATGATGATGATGCTGAGGATGACGATGATGATGCTGATGATGACGATTATGCTGCTGTTGATGATGATGGTGATGGTGATGATGATGATGATGCTGCTGATGATGATGATGATGATGATGATGATGATGCTGATGATGATGCTGCTGATGATGATGATGGTTGTGGTGGTGGTGGTGGTGATGATGATGATGATGATGATGATGATGGTGGTGGTGGTGGTGATGATGAGGAGGAGGAGAAAAGTGAAGGAAGAGGAGGAGGAGGAGGAGGAGGAGGAGGAGGAGGGAGGAGGAGGAGGAGGAGGAGGAGGAGAACGAGGAGGAGGAGGAGGAGGAGGAGGAGGAGGAGGAGGAGGCGAAGGAGGAGGATGAGAAGGATGGGGGAAAAGGCGATGGTAACGACGACTACGACTACTCCGGCCGTTCGGAACCATCTTGGGGCTCTCTTGGGACCATGTCGGGAGGGAAGCTCCGTGGCCACTCGGAGCCATGTTGAAGTGATCTCGGGGCTTTCTAGAGGCATAGTGTGTGCCATCTTGAGCCACGTGGGGCTGCCTCGAGTCATCTTGGAGGCCATCTTGGCCTCTCTGAGGCCATCTTGCAGCCATGTTGGGCCAACCGCCTCCCAAGAATGCCCCCGAAAGTCAGCATCTTTTCATGTTTGAATAAGCAATCGTTTTTCAAAGAATTTGGCTTCGAGCGAAGGGGGCGGGTCCTCAACCAGGCTTGCCCTCTTGAACCCTAGAAGTCGCCGTTGGGCCCTTCTTTGAGCGCTCTTGGGGCAGTCTTTGGGCTCTGTTGGGCCCCTCTTGGGGCTCTCTGGGCCATCTCGGCACTATCTTGAGGCCTCAAGAGTCTTTTGGGAGTGAGAAGGCGAGAAGGCAATCATCATGTATGCTCCCTGGGTTTGGGAAGGAATCTGGCGTCTTAGGGGTATCCTTGGGAGGCTTCGTGGCCTTTGGGCCCGTCTTTGAGCGGTCTCGGGGCCTCCATCCTGAGCGACGTTGCGTCATCTTGGAGGCTATATTGGATTTTGTTAGGTCCCCTTGGAGCCATCGTGGGCCAACTTGGACGCTCTGACGACTCGCGCCCTCCCCCCGTCCAGACCCAGGGGTAGGGGACAGGGGGAGGGGTCAAGATACTTTTCCTAGACGCAAGCCGTTTGGCTCACTCCCACCCGCGCTCCCAATACACAGGTATCACCCGAGTCTCAGCATGTCGCCTAAGAGCGCCACGCACGCCATGTGCGCCACGGGTCCCAGGTGCACCAGGCGCCACAGAGGCCCAAGCGTGCCAGGCGCGCCAGGTGCGCCACGTGCTCCACATGCGGCAATTGTGCTACGTGCTCCAGCCGCCCCAGGTGCGCCACGCGCGCAGCGCGCGCAGAGTGCGTGTGGTGCGCCACTCATCGGATGGACAGCTACGGGGAACCCATACAGAACCCAGGTGCCTGGGGCCCCGACCCTGAGGAGTTCACGATCTTGGATCCCTCTGAAGAGAAGTGCTGAGCATTCGGTGAGCAGGGCGGCTCCTCCAGGGAGCGCAAAGCACTGGCACTGATGGGCAGACTGTACAAAAGATGTCGTCAGCAACCGAAGTGATCGCGGGGTGCCCGCCTATGGTTTAGATGCCATCGCAAAGTTTATGTTGTGTTGCTTTTTGTCAGGCATGGATGGCCTGTTCGCAGCCAGCACATGCGGGTGCACCTGGCATAAATGGTCGCGGGGCGCCCGCGCATGCTCCAGATTTGGAGGCCAACTTTGTGTTGTATTGTTTGTCAGAGATGCTTGGCCTGCGCGTAGACAGCACGCGAATTGTATTTTGCATTGCTTTTGGGCCGGGGGGCAGGGGTGACATGTGTCTGGGTTGGGGGCTGATCGGGTGGGAAGGGGATGTTCACTAGTAGGAGCAATGATCAAGCTACCTGCCCCGAAGGTCGGCCGTCTGCCCATTATCACACGCCCGCCCACCACATAAGTGGCACCCGAGTCTCAGCATAAACATGGGCCGCCATCGGTGCAGGCGCCAGCCAGTTGCGCGACACCCGCGATGTGCGCCGCGGGTGCCAGGGCACCCCAGTCATCCCTGTCACGTGACAGTGCCAAATTATCCGTAAGGGCTTCGCCCCCTGCCGCCGGCCCCCTCTCTCGGAGAATGGGCCATGGAAGAGCTAAGTCATGAGGCTTTGGCGCTGTCGTGCAGCAGTATCGGAACTTCATGCGAGGCCGATTCGCAATCGGCCAAACCAACTGATCACAAGAGGGGTTACCTCAGGGTGATTGGTAAGACCTGTATGGTTTACGAGCTTGGTTACCACACCTTGGGATTAAAGGGCCGAGGGAGAACTCGCAGTTTGGGTTACCACGCCTTGCGATGGATGTGCGTGAGGGGTGGCACCGAATTTCAGAAATGTGGCAAATCCCCTCTGTTTTTGGACCCTGACCCCGCGGATCTGCGTGAGGGGTGGCGCCGAATTTCAGAAATGTGGCAAATCCCCTGTGTTTTTGGACCCTGACCCCGCGGATCTGCGTGAGGGGTGGCACCGAATTTCAGAAATGTGGCAAATCCCCTGTGGACCCAAATGGCCCCTGTCCCCTTTTTGGACCCTGACCCCGCGGATCTGCGTGAGGGGTGGCACCGAATTTCAGAAATGTGGCAAATCCCCTGTGTTTTTGGACCCTGACCCCGCGGATCTGCGTGAGGGGTGGCACCGAATTTCAGAAATGTGGCAAATCCCCTGTGTTTTTGGACCCTGACCCCGCGGGCGGAATCTGCGTGAGGGGTGGCACCGAATTTCAGACATGTGGCAAATCCCCTGTGTTCTTGGACCCTGACCCCGCGGATCTGCGTGAGGGGTGTCGATTTCGAGCCGCCCCAGCAATCCAGACAACGCGCCCAGGGGGTGCTAAAAGTTCCGTTTGGGCCTCCCCCCCCCTCGCGCGGTCAATCAACTAGTTACAGTAACCAGCAAGAAGCAGAACTGTAACACTGGAAACTACAAGCTACAACTGGTACAGGAAACTGCGAACCCGCGCCTACAGCCTGGTGGCCCCACAAGGGGGCCGGCGGAACTCGGGGCGCCCGCGCATGTTTCAAGATTTGCCGCAATGTGCAGTCTGCATGTGTTTTTGACAGGAACGGTGGGCTTGCAAACGTCGGGCAATATGCCGGCACCCCAATCGCCCCTGTCAAATCAATACAAAGTGATCCCGTGGTGCCCGAATGTGGTCCAGATTTTGCAGCAACGTGCATGTTGATTGGTTTTGGGGACAGAGATGGTGTGGGGGGTCTTGCTGGTTTCGGGTTCGCCGCCGTTCAGGTTGTGGAGGGCGTGTATGCTTACAAAGAGCAGTGGTGAGCACCTCCCCCGATGGAGGGACCGCCCTAAATCACCTACGCCCAGACGGCTGGTGGCATGGTGAGGGCGTTGGTTCCAATTGTGTTCAGGAGGGGCCGCGTCCTGTCATCGCTCTCATCTCACACGGCCTCTTTTCAGCTCAAGGCCGTCTTCGCGCGCGCCATCTGCCTCTCTCCTCATTTGATCCCCTGGCCGCATCCGAACGCACCTACATATACGCCTGGCAGGGCGACCCATAGCTGCCAGCTGCAGTCGGCAGGGACCAGGCAATTCCAAGGGGGGTTGCCACTAAGGGGGTCGCTACCTCCTCCAGGGAACGGGCCTCACAGGACCCCCCAGAAAGCCTTGGGACTCCCAAAGACGCCCAAACACGTCGTTAGCCTACTCGCTCCTTCCTCAGCGTCGATCCCCGATTTCCGGGAAGAGATGGTGACACCCCTTCTGGCGACCCCCCTTGGCACTGCCTGGAGCGAGCCTCTCGATGGCTGCCAGCTACCCCGTGGCTCCAGCCTGCGCGGACAGTGGCGCGGGCCCACCGCCCCTGGCAGAGAAGAGCACCCCTGCGGCGGCGGCAGGCTACCGGGGGCCTCCGAAACGGTGTGGTGACCACGCCGTGTGGTGAGCCAGTGGGGATTCGGGGTCACCGCACGGTTTTGGGACTCTGGTCGTTCTCTGGGGACGTCCCGGGCAATGGGGACTTCCGGGGTTTTGAGACCGTGCGGTGACGGACCGCGCGGTGAGGTCTTCTGGGGTTGCGAGGCCACTGCGCGGTGGATCCGCCACAGCACTGTCTTGGGGCCCTCCGCAGGCTCCCCCGCCGCGAGCAGAGGCTCCTCCGCCGCTCCGCCCGCCACTGGCGCGGCGCGCCCGGGGGCTGTGGCGCAGCATGCGCCGCCGCTCGCCCCCAGCGCTGGCGCGGCGCCGGCGCCGGCGCCGGCCGCCGCGGGCGCACGGTCGCCGCCGGTTGTCGCCCAGCTTGTGGCGGAGCGCGTGGGCCCGCAGGTGAGAGGAGGAAAATTGCACTGCTACGGCGACCCTCTTGCCCCATTCTCGCTCTTTTTGGGGGCCTCCTGGGAGGTCATTGTTTCCACGGCCGGATTCGCTTCAAAACTTCTGGCTCTTCGCAGATTCCCACCAGCCCATCCAGAAACGATCACCAGGCCAATTTTCCCTAATCAGGGAAGTTCGGACGCATGGTCGAACTGGCGCCCCTAAGATTCGAAGAAAGCCGAATTCTGCCGACGACGGATGATCCGTCTTTGCCTCCCGGGGGGGACTTCTGACTGATTGGAGGCATGACGGGTGCGCAGAAATGGGCGGGAACATCTGCTGACTCCTTCAAAGCATGTTCCCATGCCGCGGCGGGCATACTGGGCCTTGGTGTCCTCGTCGGCATTCTCGGGGCTGGGTGGCCACCATCTTCGGAATGAGGAGGAGGAGGAAGGAGGGGGAACTGGAGGAGGAGGAGGAGGAGGGAGAGATGAGTAGGAAGAGGAGGACGACGAGGTGCGGGAGGAGGTGAACGAAGAAGAGGACGGGGGAAGACGAAGGAGACGACGACGACGACGAATACGACGACCACGGCGACGAGTGAACTATACAAGTCTTCGCGGATCTTTCGCTCCGCAAGCTTCCTTGAAGCCTTTTGGGACCATTTTGGTGCATTTCGGAAGCCTTTTCAGGCCGGGTAGAGGGATGGGTCATCCCCTCTCCCGAACATGGGAAGGAGCCGCATTGGAAGCGTGGCGGGGGCGCAGGAGAGAAGCGGGAACATACGTTGACACATTTAGCACACGTTCCAATGTCGCAGCGGCTAATTTGTGCCGCGTCAGCGTTTTGTTTCTGCCATCCTTGCCAAGAGGAGACCTTCTCGGACCTTCGGTTGTGAGATCTTCTCGGCACCCTCTTGGGTCTTCGGGGGGGGCCAGGCGAGTTGCTTTCATCAGTGAAGGGTAACTACATGCAGTGGAGCATACGTCCAGAAGGTTCTGTGGGATACGGAATCCTACCTTCGACGAGGGAACCCATCCAGCAATGCATCCATTTCGGCTACAACCAGTGCCCTCACGATTTGTCGTACGAGCCTGGGAGTAGAAGGAAGAGGAACGATGAGGAGGATCAGGGAGGAGGAGGACGAGGAGGAGGAGAAGGAGGAGGAGCGAGATAAAGAGAACAATATGGAGGAGGAGGAGGAGGAGGAGGAGGAGGAGGAGGAGGAGGAGGAGGAGGAGGAGGAGGAGGAGGAGGAGGACGAGGAGGGACGAGGCAGGGAGGGAGGAAGGAAGGGACGAGGACAAGGATGATGAGGGTACGGCCTTTGCGGATCGGAAAATGTTTGGATGGCTTTTGGAGCCATCTTGGGGCCCTTGTGGGGTCCCCGTAGGGCCTCTTTGGGCACTCTTGGGGCCCTCTTGGGGCTCGTTTGGTGGATCTTGGGGTCCTTTTTGGGGCTCTTCGGAGGGGCCTGGGAGGCATCTTGGGGCAATCTTGGGCTCCATGGTTCAAAACAGGGAGCGGCGAAAAATCAGGTTTTCCCTCGGAGGTTGAACAAGTACCCTTTGGAGCCCTCTTAGGGCGCTCTTAGGGCGCTCTTGGGCGCTTTTTGGGCTGTGGTGGGGCCTTCTTCGGTTCTTGAGGCCATCTTGGGCCTCCAAAATCAAATCGGAAGCGAAGAGACGAGAAAGCACACACACACATAGATTGTCCATAGGTGTTGCAGGACGGTGCCTTCTTGGGAAGTGCCTTGGAAGTCTCGGAGACCACTTGCATCATCTTGGAGTGGTCTTGGGGCCTTTAGGAGGTATGTGGAAAGCTGTCTTGGGCCATCTCAGAGGTCATCGTGCTCTCCCTGAGACCTTCTTGGAACAATCTTGGGCCCATCTTGGACGCTCTCACCGCTCCGTCCCCCCCCGTCCAGACCCAGGGGAGGGTGTATAGGGGAGGGGTAACCCTTTCTCCCAAGCAGGGGAAGGAAGGGTTTGGGGAAGAGGAGAGAGAAGAACTCGTTATACCACCTCCGCCCAGAGGGCTGGTGGGATTCTGGTTGGAGCGCACCCCGGGGAGGTCCGTGGAGTAGTGGTACCGGTATCCCCTGCAGGTGCACCCGTTCAACCTGGGCAGCAGCGTTCCGAGCCTGTTGGGGGGGGCGTTCTCGTTCATGTGTGCGGTCAGGATGGACGGTTTCGGAAATTGGTCCCGCGTGTTTGACTTCTCCCTGGAGGCCGATGACGACAGCATCACGGCTGGGGCCATAGGTCTCACCCAGGACCTTCATTTCACAGTCTTTCGCGGCAGGCGGCCCTTCTCCGTGCGCGCGAACAACTTCTTCGAGCCCGGACGCGAATGTACCATGCTGTGCACGGTCTCGGCGTCTGGACACATGAGGGTGTTGAAAGACGGGGCGCTCGTGGGCGAGAACCCACACGGGCTGGCCCCGCTGTCCACCTGGAGGCCGCGCATGGTGGTGGGTGGTCACTTCAAGTTCAGCGACCAGGTCTTTCGCGGCAGTCTGCGGGACCTGAAGGTTTGGGACCAGGAGGTTTCGTGGTCCGATGCTGCACGCAGCTGAGTCTACGGCTGGGCACTTGCACAACACGTTGAGCAGACGTCCCTCGGCGACCCTAACAAGAGATAGTTACAATGTATAATGTAACATTTTGGCGTGATGCTCAGACGCTCTCGCTCCCGTTGCCGCCTTCCGTAGTGCTTTCTTCAACAATGCTGCGCAACCGAAAGGCTGCACCTTGCAATGTTGGATTGCCCGCCACGAGCACCAATGACTCTGTGGCGTGGGAGACCCCTTTTGACCTCATCGAACGCATGTTGCGCTTATCACGCCGCACGCCTACTGTGTGGAGACCTTGTGGTGTGTTGACCTGAGGTCGAAGCGTTTTGATAGTTTTGTTCCCCTCGCAGCTGCTCGGGGCTGAACGGTCTTTCCGCGGGGAACAGCTGGAGCTGTAAATCTAGCTGTTATTGTGCACGGCTGTGCACCTCCGCCGTTGGAGCGCGACTCATGGAAAACAATTGTTCATCTCATGTGGAGGGTGAGAAGGTGGGATGGTGGGAGCGCCATTGATCCACAGCCGACCATCCCCATCAAACGAGCATCCCTTCGCGAATGCAAGAGGAGTATCGGAAACGCACTTCTCAAGAACAGTATGGTTGATCAAGACAGCTCTTACGGCACATAGCCGAGTCGAACTTACGACGGGACCAGAGGGCCCAGAACAGTCATTTCGACCTCGAGGAACCTTGGACGGCTTCTGGGGGCTCTCCTGGCGCTCTTCAGGCCTCCACAATGTCCCAAGAAGGCGCCAAGTGGGGGACGCGTGCCTTCCGGGATGGCCGCAAGACGTCCGAGCAGGCCCTTGGTGCGGCCCCAGAGGGCCAGAATAACATTCCCGAAATGCTTCCAGGGGGCAGTGCCCATTTATTTCCCCATGATTTTCTGCAGGATTTCAGCGTTCTCGCCTTGTCCGACTTTCCCCAGCCCAAGGCGGCTTCCAGCGGCTTCCCAGATCGCGAGGGCCCGAGGGAGCCCCAAGAGAGCCCCAACACTGCCCAAGAGGGCAGTGAAGTGGCCCACAAGAGGCCCCCGAGGAGTGTGCCAAGCGGGAACCACGAGGGAGGGGCCAAGGGGGAGGACGACGAACCACAAGGGAGAGGACGCCGAGCCACGAACGACAAATCAATCATGCTATCTGAGCGCTAGAACACAGCTGCGCAAGGTGATCCATAACTTGCACGCCTGGCTCGCCGAGTGTGCGCGGTGGGGGTTTGGAGGAGTATCGAAGAAACAAAGATCCGACGAGCTCTTGCCGCCCGATGACCAGGCCGCCGGTTTCGTTCAGTTGTTTTCTGTCTAGTCGGCGCAGGGAGGGACGGGGGGTAGCGTCCGACCCCCGTTTGCTTTGAAAAGAAGGGGAGGGGATAGTTTCTGAAGCCCCGTCCCGTTGGAGTGGGCCTAGCTCCACAGGAGGCGAGAGGGATAGCTTATAAAACCTCACTCTCTCCCCTGGGAGAGGGGACCCTGTCTTCAGGCCGGTCGCGTTCAAGTGGGGAGGTCGCAGAGGTGTGCCCCCCATGTTTGCTCAGTGCCGAGAGGCGCGCTATCTCTCTCTTTCTCTCTCTTTCTCTCTCCCCGCTCTCGGCTCGAGAGCACTGGGCGCTCATAGCGTATCAATACACGTGACCTTCCGCGCCTACCACTTTGGTGAGAGAGGAACCGTATCAATCATGCGGGACCGATGCGTGTCAAGTGCATTTATTTCCGCGCGCGCCATGGGTCCGAGAGGCCCGCGCTGTGCGCCCTCGGCGCCACCGCCGCCCAAGCCACCAAGTAAGGACCGCCCGAAGGCTACCTTAATGGATCGACCGGATACCAACTTCAGTCGAAAGGAGGCTTGCGTCGCCGAGCTCCAGAGCAGTAGTGGCGTCGACCGAGCAGTAGCTACATGCAACCAACTGGCTGACAAACATCAGTTCGATCCTGACATCATGTACCAACAACGCCACTCCGACCAGCGTAAGTTCAAAGGCGAACTAGTGAAATTGTGCGGTTAAACCAAACCAGCCACACCATGGTGCACCACCCCCTCACGCACAAAACGGGTACAAACCGCGACTCGCCCGGGTCTGCGGCTCCCCCCACCATGGCAACGGCACCGCCTTATTCATCAGCCAGGGGGTGCCCCTGTCGCTCTCGCCACTAACTGGGCGGAGGACGGGACATCATGCACCAGTAGATTTTCGCTCCACGCGCTAGAAAACGGCATCCACCTCCTGTGACGTATCCGCCGGCTGGACAATCCCCTCGCGCTAGCTTTCCTGGAACCGATCAACGTTGCTTCCCCAGGCCAACAGGCCCTTGCCCCTGTCCTCCGACGGACGGCAAAGGCTACCAAACTGTCGCCAGGTTGCACGCATTGGACCATCTACCCACTGTGGCCGAAGCTAGCGCTAGCGGCCACGCAGGCGCTGGAGGACCATAGGACGCCGGCGGCGCATCACCGGCCGCTCCCTGGGAGTTTGTCGAAGTGGTGCGCAGCATCGGAAGTCGTGACGTGGCGCGTATGCCAGCTATCAAATAGCCGTCGGCCCATTCCGCCACCGTGCTTGGGTTTTGGGTCGGAGTCCTCATGGACGCTTCCTGTGGCCTCTCGAGAGGGCTCTCGGGGGCCTCCGCCGGGAAATTTAGGGGCCTCTTGGGGGCCATCCTGGGGGCTTCTCAAAGCCTCTTGGGGCTCTCTTGGGGCCTCTTGGGGCTCTCTTGGAGCCTCTTGGGGGCCTCCTGGGGGCCTCTTAGAGCCTCCTGGGGGCCTCTCGGGATCGAAAGCTCGAAATGTTCATTCGGGTTCCTCTTCTGGGCGCCCTCGTTGGGCCTTCCTGGGGCCCCTCTTGGGCCGTCCCAGGGGCCTCCTGGGCCGTCTTGGGGCCCTCTTGGGCCGTCTTGGAGCCCTCTTGGGGGCTTGTTGGGCTGTTTTGGAGCGATTTCGGGGGCCTCTTGGGCCGTCTCGGAGCGTTGGGAAGCCGAAATGGCGAGAACGCGAAAATCCTTCAAAAACCATATAACAATCCATGATTTGTGTCTTTGGGGGCCCTCTTAGGGGTGCTCTTCGAGGCCTCTTGGGGCGTCTTGGTGGCGTTTTGGTCCGTCTGGGGGCCATCTTGGGCGTCTTGGAGCGATCTGGAACCGTCTGGAGGCTCTCTTGGACCGTCTTGGGGCTCTCTTGGACCGTCTTGGAACGCTCTTGGGTCGTCCCCGGACCGTTCCAAACGTTCAGGGGGTTGAGGCCGGGGGGGGGGGCGGCGGCAGAGTGGCGCCCCCTCGGAGGAACTTTCAGGAGATTTTTGACCAGGCACTGGCGAAGGGGGCCAAAGACTGTGTCAAACACTCTGTCAGAGAGGTCTCGCACGGCCCAACCCGCAGGGCGCTAGCGGCCGGATTTCACAATCCAGTTCTCTGGCGCCGCCCCAATCAACGGCGCCCGCATACCAGGCGGCACAGGCACTGCGCAGCAGAAAGCCGGATAGTGCCACAAGGCAGCCAGCCGCGGCGGCGCGCAACAACAAGTGGATGACGACCTCCCAGACGCCTTCGCGCTCATCGTCCCCTCCCAAATCCGCGCCGCCCAGATCCAAGGGCCCGCGAAACTCCAGGGGCGACGCGGAACGGGCGCGGGCAAACGCAGACTGGCGGCAATTTTTTGACATTTCTGGAATCAAACCAGCCTGCGTGCCAATGATCTTATCCACGTCTTGTCAGGGTGGCAGCCAGTTCGGCGTCAGCTACCACGCCTCGAAGGAGCAGCGCCTAGTGATTAGTTCACGGCATGGTACCCAGACGACATTCAGAAAAAGGCACGCGCGACCTCGTCAAAAATCATAGCGCCTACGACGCCATTCGCGTGGGCGAAAGAGTGTGCATCTGCGTCGAACCAGACGCCAACGAGGCCAAGCAGGTCGTCCTCGAACGCGAAGCCGCACTCGCATATGCCAAGCACCGCATCACGGGCATCGAGCCACAGAGCGCTACGAGAACACCCATCGCAAGACCCTAGCATCCATCGGATGGCAGCGCGAATGGCAGCGCGCAGGATTGGATTGGACAAAACCACCCGAGGTGATTTTGCCATCGTCGAAGCGGCCACGCCACCGCCGAACGCCGCCGCTCACGTCCATGGACGCACTATCACTTGAACCATCGTCAAGATCGAGCGTTTCACTTAGTGTACCCACTGGCAAGGGCCAACCGAAACCATCGCTTCACCGCCGGGCATCGCCGCGGAGGGGCCCGCGGTGGGCGCGCCGCCAGGTGGGGAAAAGGCCCGAGCCTCGCCGTCGCTTCAAGACAAGGCGGCCGCCGGGCACATATCTAACGCCGCCGCTAAACCGCCTGAAAGCGGCGCCCCCCCCGAGCGCCGCGGCCGCCCGGCAAGAAACAGGGCTGCAACAGTGCCGAGAGGACAAGCCGGCGCTCTACTGGTGCAGGCAGGCAGGCGACGGAACCTACACCGGGCGTGCCAGAGGCAAGCCAAGAACGAGGCACCACTGGCCCTGCGCGACGCAGAGGACTGCGACATGGCGGAGCAAAGCGTACAATGCGAGGTTGCCCCGCCAACGCCGCCCAATGGGCGAACCGTTCCACCGGGCCACGAGCAAGACTCTGAGGGGCTAGGGAGCTGATCAACAGTAGTTGGCCGTCGCGGTCAGGCGCCTGGATGCCGCTGTGGCAAGCGCGCAGGCCACTGGCCACCCTTGCCCAGCAATGCAACCAGCTTGAACAAGGGATCTCCCGTGCGCGACTGGGGCAGACCAGTCTCTGCGCGGACCCGCGGGCCTTCGTGGCCCAGATGGCCCCGCTCGCCGCGCCGGCCCAGGCCCGGCCACCAGGCCCGCCAGGACAGGGAAGTGAGGCCACAAACTGGAAAGCGGAAGAGCCGCAGCCTTTCGGAGGGATAGAGCGGGGGCGCGGCCAGGCGGGCGGGCCTCTCCGTCCCCGGCCCGCACCATTTCAGGGGCCGTGCTGAAGGGCCCTCGATGGGCCCCCCTCGAGGCAACATTTACCGAGCGTTTTCTTGATGCTTTTATCGCGTTTCTGCAGGGGCAGAAAGCTCGGATCAGCAATGGCCCTGGGCGCGCTGTAAGCATTGCTTCTATGGGTCATCGTCGTCAAGATGAGTTGGCGTTCCTCGCTTGCTTCTATTCGCACCTCGCAACTCAGCGGCGTTTGGCTACGCGACGCTTGCCCGGCAAGCCGCGCGCCCGCGGGCGCCGTCTGAGAGTGTGCGTCATCATGTGCTTCGGCCATGCGTGGGTCTTCGCCCGTGTCAAGATCTCCGTTTGCAATTTTCTTCTGCGTGATCTCGGGACGGGTTCCAGCCTCGATGCCCGACGACCCCCCAGCGACCTTGCCTGCGAGCAGACTTTGGGGGTGGGGGGTGGGGGGGGGGCAGTGCTATTGCTGTCGCCATCACTGGCGACGCGCGGCGCCGAGCTTCCACTTCTGCTGCGTCCAGGCCACTGGCTGACGAGACGATCATCCGCAACAGCCGCGCAGGGCGGTGCTTCCTCGCCGAGGCAACGGGAAGCGTGGGCCGTCAACCGAGACCGGCCAACAGCAGCCAGCCTGGGTGAACCAGCCACCGCGGCACGGGGCGCCAAGCAGCTACAGGGGCGACAAATATCCCACGCCAAGCACCGCGGGCCCTTCCTTGGTCAGCCCCGCGCCGGCCGAGCGACGGAGCATGACCGTCGTTGAAGCCCTGCGTGCCGCCGTGAGCGAGGCGCGCACTGGCCGCACCATTCCCAACTCGTCGACGACGTTTCCGAACGGCGCGACGACATGGGCGCCGAGGGGCACCTGTTCCGACCGCCCTTGGGCCGACCGCACTCGGGCGAAGGATGCGGCGGCGTCGGGGCCGAGGGGCGCGGGTCCTGTCCCCCACGTCGCTGACCGAGCGGGAAGCGACGACCTCGTCCAAGACCCTGGCCCAGACGCCGGCCCAGCCGGCGACCCGAGCGAGGGCCCTGGCGACAGGGGGGGCTTCGCGCAGACACGCGCAGCCCAAGGGCTACGCGCGTGCCAGAAATACGCGAGGCGGAGACAGGCGAAACGCCGGCGCTAAGGGGTCCTCGACCGCCTTCACGGCGCGGCCGCCACGTGGTCACCGTTGGACGGGGAACAGGGCTTTCCAAAGCTGGATGGGCCAGTGTATCGCACGGGTGGCAGGAGACATGCGGCGCCCCACCTCCGCCCCGCTGCTCATAGCCACGAGCGTCCAAGAGGCACCTCTGGAGTGCAAACGCCAGCGCGACGCCTGCGACATCTGCATCCCAGCGTGGGAAAACGCAAATTTGACCAGGTCCCTCGCGCGGGGCCTTCAGCGGACTACCGCGCGCCGACCGCGGGGCGGACCTTGTCGCCTACGTCCGCCACTTCCACGATGACGCTGCGTCGGCGTAGCACCTTCAGAAACACCTGGTTGCGCGGCCCATGTGCGGGGCAATCTCCGCCATCGCGCGGCGCGCCGCCGCCCGCCGCCCCCGCCAGCGGCCCCGCCTCATGCCAGCGTGCCACCTCCGCCGCGGGCGGCGAGGGCTGCCGCGGACATCCGGGCGCCCCCGGCCCCGCCAGGGGAGGCGTCGCTCGACGACGCTTCCTTTGCGGAAGGTGCGTCCGAGGACAATTTCGACTTGCTGGCGGGCGCGGAGGACTATGTCGGCAGCGGCCGCGCGCCGCGCGGCGACGGCAAGACCTCGGGCCCAGGGGCCCGGCGTCGGCTTGCGCGCGGCTCAGTCTGGCCATGGTCAGGCTCCTCGTGGCGGGCGACAGGAGGGCCCTGCACGCATCCCATCACACGACGGCAGCACACGTCCCAGTCCACCGCACATCTCAGGCACGATTCGGTCGGCCGGTCGGTCGGTTGAAAGTTTACAGTGCGAAATCACCACGGTAGGTATGATAAGAAGGAAAAAGGGGTGCGAGGGGGGAGGGAAAGGACAGGGGAGACGGGCGGAGGACAGGGAGAGGAGGGGGTCACGGTCGATCGGAATAAGCCAGGGCGGGGCACGGGACAGGGAGAGGGGAGGGGAGCACGGTCGGTCGGAATACGGAGAAGGGGAACGAGGGCGGAGGGAAAGGGGAGGAGGGGGGGGCGGAGGGCAGGGAGAGGAGGGGGGCACGGTCGGTCGGAATAAGACAGAGGGGGCACGGGACAGGGACAGGGCAGGGGGCACGATCGGCTGGAATAAGCCAGGGGGGGTCACGGAGGACAGATGGGCGGGGGCACGGTCTGTCGGAATAAGGCGGGGGGGGGGCTCTTGGCAGGGGGGGCAAAAAAGGCCACGGGACGGGGACAGGGCACGGGACGCCCCAAGGCGGCGCCGCCATCGTCTGGGCGCCGTATTACGCATGCCAAAGCGTGTGTACAGCCAGCGTCTCCCTGTTTGCGGGTGTGCAAAAGCGGTGGGCCTCGCCCTGATCACAGCTTCCGGTCTTTGCTGTCCAGGTCCAGCTGGGGTCCCAACAGACCGCGCCAACCCCTGATCGCACAAATGGCACCTCCCGCCACGCGAGGTGGGCGAGGTGGGCGCTGGTAGCCGGCGCGCCCGGACGGACATTCCGTCCGGATTGTTGCTCCCTCTCCCTCTCTCTCTCTCTCTTTTCTTCCTCTCTCTCTCACACACACACACTCTCTCTCTCTTTTCTCTTCTCTCCCTCCTTCTTTTTTTCTCCTGTCCTTCGCACACACACGCACACACTTAGCTTCATGTCGTATGCCTGTGGGCGCACGTGTGCGCAGAGCACTTCGCACCAGGCACTGTCGGGGAGTGGGAGGAGGACGGACGGGGAGACGGGTGCTGGAGTAGGGCGTGGATTGTGGATGGGGTGGGAAGCGGTGGACGGCGAGGACGGACTCGATGCTGTCCT